TGAGTTAAATGTTATGGTGTGAATAAGTTGTTCATACCCATGTTCCGGACTAGTACCAGTACCTGCTAACATAAAAAGGTGGAAAAGTGCTTATGCTGATTTGTACAAAGCATATGACACTGATGAGATGTTGTGATTAGATTTTTGGTTGCATTTCATCTGCTAGTATGGTTTCCCACGGATAGATTCTTTTCCATTCTTAGATGATTTGTGTTGCCATCTTTTGAGTGAAACAAGTGAAATTTTTTGGTCAGTTAGTTCGTGGTACAGTATAAGTAGTTATGTATTGTGTTTGCAACTTGATCCTGAAACCTGGGATATGAGATGCTCATTTTATTGAGACATATGTATGGTTTGTTTGCAGAGATTATGAGATTATACCTCCTCGGATTCCTTTGGTGAGGATCTCGTTATACAATTATAAATTATGACATCTTCAAACTTAAATTATCATATATATAAATTCTTTTAGGACTATTTACAAATTAATTTTATTTTAAATGAATAACTTCTACAATATAGTAAAATTATATTTCAGAACATTTTTTTAATATGATTGTTCTGAAGATAAAAACTATACTAAAGCTTCTAAGCATACATGCACCACGTATAGAGTGAAAAAGGAATTTTTATAAAAATAAATAAATATAAAAAATCAAATTATACAATCATACAAATGGTCAAAATTTGTTTATCTTAAACTATCATATAACTTTTAAAAGAAAACTTCCCAATTATTATGAATATTAAATGATCTAAAAATTTCATGTATATAGAACTGAATTAAAGATTTTAGTTGTCCCTTTATCTCAATATTTTATCCTCTTTATGCTTGGTATATTTCGTATTATGTTTTATAATCAATAAAATCATAATTAAATTTTTATCTACGAAATTTATTCTTATTCATTTTAAGTTTGACTAGTGTTGACTGGAAACAGAATGAACTCTGTTTTTTCTTTTTCTTTTTTTTTCTTATATTATTTTTTATCTCGTCTACATTTTAACTTTATATTTAAATTTAAATCTTAAAATATTAATTATTTTAAAGTATTTTCTTTTTTTTCTCGTATTATTTATAAGGTCATTTCTTTTATATATCATTATTTTTATTTTTCTTTTACCTACTTTTCACTCTTTTATTTTTTCAAATCTCTTAAATTGATGAATTCATTATATTATTATCTTTTAATCAATTTAAATCTCTTTTACTAATTTGAAAAATACAAAATTATTTTTTATTTTTCCTTATCATTTTCTAAACATTCTAAATCCATCTTACTAGTAATTATTATTATTTTATTTTTAGTAGTACCCACATTTTCTTATGTCATCTTTTATGGGTTTATTATTCCGATTTATTATATATATTAAATTTAATTTTAATAAAATTAGAATTTAAAACATTAAAAAATTAATGATTAAAACTTTTATTACTTTAAACTAATTAAATAAGAATTAATTTATTAAATATTTTTTTATAAACTATATATTTTATATTTACTAATATTTTAAAATATAATTAACTTATATGTTTAAATACATTGTTATAATAATCATAATAATAATAATATTATTATCATAATATTTTATATCCAATAAAAAATGATTAAATATTTATTTGTACATACATATTTAATATAAATATCATAAATTAAAATATATACTTAATTATTAATGATAATAATAATTAAAAATTAATAAATATTTATTTATATATAAATAATACACAAAAATATTAAATTAATTTATTATAAATATAGTTATTTTGTTATAATTAATATAAAAGAGGAATGAGAAACCCAAAATACAACATCGACAGAAATGAAAACTTAATTTATAACTTCGACGGAGGTTAACGATCGAGACGAGAATGGTTAAAGAAGTTAAGAACATGAATTTAGAAGATAAAAGCTACTCGTCTCATTGTCATGCCTAAATAACACATTTAAACTTTTATTATAATTAATTATTATAATTTAATATTAAAATTTAATATAATAATTAATCTGAAATGATAATAAATTTATAAGAGGTTTTAATTTTTTATAAAAAATATTTTAAAAATATTAAAAAGTTAATGTATTTTTAAAAAAAGTTATAAGATAAAAATTAAAACTATCTAATTTTACAGAATTTAAAAAATATTTAAACAAGTATCATATATATATTTTTATAATATTATTTATATTTTATAAATAAAATATAAATATAAATATTTTCATTCTTCTTGCTCGTCAAAAAGTGCTTAAATTTATTTTATTTTAATAAATACAATTTTGACTTAAAATATTTAGACAAAATATTTTATATAAGATTTTTGTTATTTATTTCTTTTTTTTAAGCAACGATATTTATTGAAGCGAACTTAAAAACATTTTAAGAATTTTTACGGTCAATAATTTTCAATATAATTATTTATAAGTAATATTGTAGATATTGTGGATAAAATTTAATTTGTAACCGATAATCTATATAAATTATGGTTTTTATAAATTAATTATGATAAATTTTATATGTAAATATAACAATAAAATTGTGACTAACAAATAATTTACATTATAATATCTAAATTAATTGTATTAATTCTAATTATTTATATTTATGATTTTTTTAGAGTTTTTAGTGAGCAAAATATTTTATAATCTAATTCAATTTATTACGGATTAATAGATGATATGAATTGATTCATTTAAATATGTATATTTATTTTAATTATTTTTTATTTTTTAAAATTACTAAATTAGGTTAATTAGGTAGGTTGACTTATTGATATAAATGAATTAGATGAGTTAACTCACTAAATTATTTTTTCTTCATTATTTAATCAACACATGCATAAAAAAATTAAATTATTAAAAATTTAAAAAAGGAATCAATCCACTACCAATTTAACTTGAACCCGTTTAATTTACAATTAAGTGAATCATTTTAACTCATTATTTAAAAAAAATTATTTTTTCAACCAAATCTATTTAAAATTCGTACTAAGTCAAATTGACTCTCGTATTGACATCCTAATTTTTTATAATAAATTAAAAGAATTTAAAAGAAAAGTGTAGAAAACATTAAATTATGATCATATTTGCAAAATTTTGTATGGAGTTATTTGCAAAATACTTTAAAAGAACAAAGTAATTTAATCATATTTGCAACACACATCTTTTCACTTTAAACGGTCATAATATTCTCCATTATTTAGAATTCAAACTATAAATACAAAAATAAAAATGTTAAAAGAATTATTTGTAAATAGACTTTGGATACAATCCTTGGAAAGAATATTAGCAACAAATTAAATAAATTAAAACCAAGTTATAAGTAAGGGTCACATTATTTAATGATTTCCACATGGTTCTTGAAATTGGACCTATCATAAAACTAATAAATATATGAATTTAGGGTTCAAAGATTCAATAAAAAATTAAATCAGAGTGAACCCGAATTTAATAAAATAATACATTTTAATAATAAAATAATATAGAATTAAAAATAAGTTTATCACAACATAATAACAATTTCAATCCAACATAAATGCTATTTGAAAAAGTATTATATAATAATAAAAATAATATGTAAAATACATAAAGAAAAGTAACATGATTAAACATATATCAAATACCTTGAGTACAAAGCAATTAAAGAAAAAAAATATCGCTACATTTAACTTGAAAACAATTATAAAAAAAAAACTATAACTAATTTGAAAATAATTAGGAAAAAAAAATTATATCTAACTTGAAAACGGAGAAAAAATTACACCATATATTTCATTGCATTTAATTTCAAATTTTTATATATTTTATTTTATTTCAATGCATGATTATGAAACATAAAGATAACTCACTACATTTAACCTATTATTCACTCGTCAATTAATTTTCAAAATTATGAGATTATGATTCTTATGTGTTATTATATTTTCATAGTGATGATAACAATAGAAAAAAAATTATATCTAACTTAAAAACGAAGAAAAAATTACACCATATCTTTCATTGCATTTAATTTTAAATTTTTATATATTTTATTTTATTTCAAGGTATGATTATAAAACATAAGGATAACTCACTACATTTAACTTACTGCTGTTAACAGATTATGATTCTTATGCAATTATATTTTCATATTGATGATAATAATAGACAACAACAATGATAGTTATAAGAATAAAAAAGAAGAAGAATACTACCACTAATAAAAATATATTCTTTTCACATTTCTGAAAAAAAATATAATTTAACCCCTTTTTAAAAATTGAAAAAAAAACAAGTAACACATCCGATTCCACTTATTTTTTATCGATTCACTATTTATCCTATTTTTAAAAAGCTTTAGACCGGCCGGTCCAATTGGCTCAACCGATTGAACCGGTCCAATTTTGATAACCATGAATTTCCATTTACATTTTACCAAAAATGTTAAAAATGTGTTGCCGAACTATTTTCTTGGCCTTACATATTTTAGGTTCAGTGTCCTACACAAACACAACACTACACCTGAAAATCAGAACCTATCACACTCAAGATGCTTATCTCACATCCAAAGTAAATTTCATTCATCAACTCAAGTGAATATAATCATAAAAGAATAGGAATTCCCACAAAATCAGAAATACAATGCAATAAAGCCGCAGGTTGTAGAACAAATAAATAAAAATTATTTTATTTTATTTTTACGAGAAAAAAAAAACATGGTTATACAAACAGACTGCCCAAACAGGGCAAGAATAAGGGGAGAGTTGGATGAGCAGAGAACCTATATTAAGCTTTTATCTCAAGTGAAATTGTCAACAAATTCTACTAATATGTGAAAAAATTTGGAGAAGGTGGTGAGGGTTGGAAAAAGGAGAAAGAAAACCTATGATGGTATAATACAATAGAGAGAGGCAGAACCAATGATGGGATTTCCACATCAACAATGTCACTGCTGACTTTGTTGCACCATTGAGGTGGTGATAGAAGAATAGCCTAAGCAAGAAATGCTATACAGAGAAAGCTTTACATGAAATAGCTCAGAGATCTCATTTTTCTTGATCCTCCTTCTCCATAGAGGTCATTCCATTGGAGTAGTTCATTCATATTTGTTGACTCTGATGACACGCTCGCACACACCTGCACAAAAGTACATCAAACATATTAGCACGAATAAGACTCGATCATGTAATGCATTATCACATGAAAAACAAAACCCATTTTTTAATCCAATCCAACAATCTACAAAGATAACTTCATGTTCAATGTGTCAGATTCCATCCACCACACATATCTAATAAAAGCCATTCATTGTTGAACATCCATTTGCTAACACATATATAATAAAGACACATGGCAATATTCAGACAACAATTTAAAGCTCAGTGAGCCCATTTTATTATGTAATCGCATTTGCACCAAGAGTCAAGACTACCCCCTCAGTAAAAGATCTCATCAATATAGCAAGTCAAACCTTGAACACTTCGAATCTTGTGTGCTAGAAAGCTAGAATAAAGCCTGATCATGTTTAAACAAGAAGCTGAAAATGCATATGCCAGTATATAGTTCATCTGTGACAACAAATGCCCACCCTATACAGCCAAGCCCAGAATTACTCATACAGAAGGCAGACAACAATGCATTTCCATCAACCCTGACCCAACCAATAAATTTCATTTTTAACAGAGATAGGACGGTTTCACTAGCTGGCCAGGGATTACATCCATTTGTCATAAATGACATCCACCTAAAACATAAGTGGGTGTCTAAAGACAGTTATCTTACTTTAAGGAAACTCAATACTCCAAAGTGAACACATTATTTTAAAAAGAAAACAATGAAAATGAATTTAATATACCTGCTCATGTGCATATCTAAAATCATCCATCTTCAAAGAACGGATGTCGGAGCTGCTACACAATCCAGGTAAAGGTTTGTTCTCCGTTAACGCTAAGCTCTTCTCCTGAAAGACAGTTTATGTAAGTGTGGAAGAGATCACCAATCACTGGACTATTATGCAAGCACATTAAGATGCACAGGTCCATATTTAGCACTGAACTGATATTTCTGTATAAGAGAGCTAGGCAGATAGTGTGTTGTGTGTCACTAACCTTCTTTTCCTTCTCCAAGATCTCTCGTATTGGGCAGTGAGCTGCTGTAACACACAAATTCTGCAATCAAAAGTTAACAATGAGAATATTTTATGTAGAGTCGGATTTACCTTCTCCAGAAACCAAGAATGAAAGTGAAAAATGTATAGAAATACAACCTTTAAGTCACTCCCAGAGTATCCGTCGGTCATATTAGCCATTGCTTCAAAATCAACATCAGGTGCCAAATCCTCTTTGGCTAAAATGACTCTAAGAATTTTTTCTCTGTTTGGAGCATCTGGCAAATTAACCATCAATCTACAAAAAAATAAAGATCTGCATTAAAATAGATGTCATTTGTAAAACATGAAAATACAAGTTAAAAATAAGTAAAACATGCTCACCGTCGAGGAAGCCTCCTAATAACAGCCTCATCAAGATCAAAAGGCCTGTTCGTAGCAGCAAGAACAAGTACACGCTCTTTATCTTTTGTACGCAAACCATCCCAATTGACCATAAACTCATTTTTCATTTTTCGCATAGCCTCATGCTCACTGGGGTTTTCACGTCTCCCTAGCATACTATCAACCTGCCACAACACAGAAAAGATAACTGAAGCTAAGAAAACCATACTAGCTACCATAAAAAATAGAAAAGATTTAAATATGTACGTATCCTATTCAGCAAGTTTTCATTTGCCTGGTCTTTTAGAATGTTCAAAGAATTTGCAGAACATAGAGTTCAAAATCATACATTTATAGCTTGATTGAAGCAATAGAAAAATAATTACAAAATGAACATGATCAAGGAATTCAGCAAAAAATATAGCTTAACTTCAGAATTTTTTGTTCAGAACTGCTAGAATTTTATTACTGTAAACCTAAAAAACATTTCAAAGCAATTTATTACTGTCCTATCACATTGTAAGCCACAAACTCCTTCTGCACATCCCTTCGGTATCATTATATAGACCATAAATTTGCTTTTCTCCATTTGATCATATCTTCTTAAAATAGTCCAGCAATGGGTCATTCGAAAGAGGGGTTAAAAATTTTATTTCAAACGAAGGAAAAAAGTAAGATTAACAAATGACATCATAAACCAACCTCGTCCACAAAAATAACACTTGGAGCAATTTTGCTGGCCAGAGAAAAAACTGCTTTCACATATTTTTCTCCTTCACCAAACCACTGCAATAAACAATCTTGTCTGTCACTGAAGCATACAAGGAAATACACAACTCAACAAAAAGGAAATTTACAACATCAGTACCTTTGAAGTAATGCTGGACATTGAAATGTTAATGAAATTTGCTCCAGCCTCAGTAGCTACAGCCTTCGCAAGCATTGTTTTTCCAGTGCCGGGGGGACCAAAAAGCAATATTCCCTTGCAAGGCTATATCCAAAGTAATTACAATAAGGTACTAGATACATGATATGGAGATCATCTACTTAAAAAATGTGTTGCACAAGTAATTTAAAGCAAATAAAATGGAAATCTATCCACCTTTGTCAGCTGTCCTTTGCAAAATAATTCAGGCCTCTGAAGAGGAAGCATGACCAATTCCTTTAAGGTGTCCTTCACATTTTCTAACGCTCCAATATCATCAAATGTGACCCCAATATCAGTTGGTGGAATAACATCAGCAAGCAGCTTTTTCTCAAACTCATTCTCAGTAACCACATCCTGGAAAAATAATTCAAAGACCAGGTTACAATACCATAACTCAAACCTATGGCTGAGTAAGGAAACCAGATGGATACCAGTAATGCAAACTATCTCCACAATATATGATGTTTAAAGGCTTAAATTTTAAACATCTAGTGTTAACCTACCTTGAGTGATTTTTTCAAGTTTTTATTCTCATTTTGAATGCCCTGTAGAATGTTGAGCCCATAATTAATGCTGCACCGAGAAATGAAAAGGTATGTCAATAAAAATTATTATTATTATAAGAACAACATGCCAAAAAATAACAAATACAACCTTTCTGCAGATATAACAAGCTTAGAATCTTTGGTAGAAGCTTCAGATGAATGCATAAAATGGTAACTTATAGCCCAGCCAATGATCTTCTCCACACCTAGAAAATGGAGTTTATACTAGTATCAGTGATAAGGCAGAAAATCTCAGCATCTTATATTCAATTGGAAAAAAAAAATCATACATAATACTAAAAAACGAATTAGGAAACTGACTTTCAGTTGTTAGGGTTTGGTCTTTGATGCAAATAGTCTCAATGTCAGGGCAATCCAATCCAATCCTGTGGAGAACCTGAAACATTAGAAGAATCTCATCAGATGTTAAATTTTAGTATCTAATAAACAAAACTAATTCACGAACAATGCTGGAAAAATGAGCATCGGGGAATCATTTGGCCACGTGAATCAAAAAGTGGATATGGATGGCAAAAAAGACCAATAGGCTTGAAAAAAGCAGGAAACAAAAATAAAATTATCCACATAAACAACTTTTACAATGATATTGGGCATTGTTAAGCCCAGTTGGGAAAATTTCACACAGCCAATGGGAAAATTTCACAGCCAATTCAAGTTATGCCACATATTCCACAGGCGAATAACAACTAACCCACAAACTAGTGAAAATTTATAAAAATACAACAAGGGAAAACATAAATACTACAAATAATCTTGTCCCACCACGTTAAGTCATAGAAAGCACATAAAACAATAAAAGGAATAAGATCCACATAAAAATTAACATATGTTGCTGGACTCACTGTGCGAACGCAGACAGTATTGGACTGAGCTTTCATAGTTTCAATATCACGTTCTAATTGCTGCTTCCAATCAGAAAGTAAAGCCTCATCCTGTACAAGTTTAGACGAATACACAAAACTGTGTAAATAACAAAGGAATAAATATCAAAATGAAATCAATATGACGTCATACCTGAGGTAGCTGTATTGTCACTTTGTTTGGGAAAAGGCGACCAAGTTGCTTCATTACTTTAGGGGTTTCTTTGCTCCGATCATGCAGTCTACTAAAGTTATCCTATAAAAAGAAGAATGGTGGTGGGTTGATAATTAATTCCTTGAGGGACCATAAGCAACCAAGCTACAATGTTTATATGACAATATGAACAAAAAATTTAGAATCTCAAAGCTAGGAATAGTGTTAAGGTACAGGGAAAGACAAAGCAGTGTAAATTCCAAGTTAGAAGAAATACACAAGCCTTAAATCAAGGTAAGAAGTGCAACGGCTGTGATTCTTATACCGGAAAAGCAAGATCAAGCAGTGCAGTCTGATTACTCCCAAACTTTGTAAATAGAAGTCCACCAGGTTGGGTCTGGATGCATAAATATGTAGCCATTAAATAAAGCAGCAAAACATTCCCCAAATGATGAGATCACTACAATGTAAAGCTAGATAAATGTACAATAATGAGAAAGTACCTTCTCCTTTCGATTGTCAAGCATAGTATGAGAGCCAATTACCACAACATTTGGTGGCAAACTTTCAATTTTAATTTTCAAAACTTCATAGTTTCCAACCATTGCTTTCTCTATATCTTTAATGAACAACACTAGGGGACCACTTTTACTCTGATTAGAGGTAACCTGTGCACAAAGCAAAGAGGGATGTTAAATATATTTCTGCAAGAACAGAAGCATCTTTTTGATTGATAAAGAATTGGGACAACCTCAAAAATATCATTTATTGCAACTTTGTCTGTATCATCCCCTCCAGAGCCATCTACCCGTAGTAAATGATTTGCTGCAGTATAAATCCTCAATGAATTATATGTTGCTAAAATAATTGTATAAAATATGCTACTATACAGATAAGACAATAAAATTTCAAACAAACACAGTGAATTACCTGAACAAAAGAACCCTCGATCCTCTTCACAAAGGCCTCCAAGATCATTGCCATCTGGAATTGATTTATCAAACCTAACCCCAATTTTTGAAGACCCATTATCTTCAAAAGCTAGCAGAACTTTACCCCGGGAGCCATAGCTTGGTCCCCTGACCAACGTAGCAGAAGAATAAACTCTTAATTTCCAAGAATAAGAAAAAAAAAAAAAAAAAAAAAAAAAAACTTAACTGAAGGATTATATTAAAAAAATTTGCAGCAGGATAAAATATTTGTTAAGGTTCCAATATAAAACCATTTGGTAATATGTGGAGTAGCCTAACATGTATTTAAACCATACCACATGACATGAGGTAGGCGATGTGGAACTTTCAACACGCCCCCTCCAACGAAGTCTGTCGGACCAGGCAAAAGGTACTTTTGACCCAACTAAAGGGCAACTTTTGGCCCATGAGAATAACCGGAAAGATGTTAGGTTTTGGCTCTGATACCATTTTAAGGTTCCAACATAAAACCAATTGGCAATATGTAAAGTAGCCTAACATGTATTTAAACCATACCAAATGACATGAGGTTGACGATGTAGGACTTTCAACAATATCAACATAAGATAATTTATAAAGGTAAAAATGAAACAAATATACATCAAATCTCTATAGTCAGTCAGCATAACAGAAATTGAAACACCCCCTGAATAGCTAGGAGCAATGCACCAGATAAAAAGCAAAAACTCAGTCAATTTAGAGCTCAAGTGCATTTAGCTTCAATTAAATACAAGGATAAATAAAAAAATCACAAAAATATCTGAAATGAAGTACTAAGAAACAGCTCCAAATTGAAATTATTTGTTTTTCTTATTTGTCCAGAAACTGAATTTTTCTGAAGTTATAACCTCTGCAAATGAGAACTGCCATTAAAATCCCATTTTAAAGCCATATTAAAAGAAACTTCTATGCACATCCTCCTCTATAAAATAAGATTAAATACAAATCTCATAATTCAGATCAACCTATTGTAAAAATATTTAAGGTATAAGTATTGCATTTAATAAATTACCTTGAAGGATAATTTGGTAGTGCTGAGACGGCAGAAGGAAAATTCCCAACAAATTTTACCCTATCACCTGCAAATTAAGCAAGCATCATATCATTAAAGACAAAAAACAGTCACCAACCAAGCATTCATTATAAAGCATAGACGATGGGAAGTGAATTTGCAGATCAATGCTTATTTCCTGGTCACAGCAGCATACCCTCTTTAAGAGTAGTGCCTTTTGATGATGCAGTGGAAACCTCTTGCTTCAGCATTGCCTGAGAACTTAACGTAGATCCACCTATAATTTCAGCATCAACACTAGAAGCTGGTTTCTTATGATGTAATGTGGCAGTCTGGGAACTTCTCTTAGCAAACACAGATGGTCTTTCAGGTCTGGAACTTTCTTTAGCAGAATCAACTTCTTTTGATGGTGCTCCCTGAAAAACCAATCACATAGTTAAGAATAAGGGTACATTAATCCACTTAAGAGTAAAAAAGAAGGAAAAATATGCTTTAGAGGGCTTAATCACACCCCTCATATGATTCATTTATTTATAGTGATAAATTCAATGAGTAGATGGAAAATCAAGGGACTATAAAGCTGATCTAGAAACCTAAGTGCAGAGATAGATATAGCTCATAGGTTAATAATTCCAACAAATCCTAATTTACCAAGAAACCATCTCAATAGAAACAAGAAAATAATCCCAGTAAAGACAATGAACAGGAAATATTTTAGGCTGGTAAGGAGATTTTGAAAAACCTCTTCAACAATTAACAAAAGAAGAATGTCTAATAATACATACACCAGGAAGTGAAAGAGAATCCACAATCAGTAGCCTGGCACCAAAATGTTTTGCAAGTGCCTTGCACAAAGTCTCCTGATATATTTCCGAACCTACACAAGAATCATACAAAATATCATTAATCTATAACAAAAAGGGGAAAAGGCTAGCATAAGCAATGATTTTGTAACCACCTGCAGGACCAGATAACAATATTCGTGGAGATACTGATGGGAGGTCTGAAGCATATCTTCCAAATCCATTGCATTTCATATGAATATATGTAGAAGTGATCAAAACATTCTTGGTTGTCTCACTGTATAATACGAAACATCATAACTAAGTAACCATAAATCATCTCTTATTAATCACACCAGTAACTAAAACCAATTACACCTAGCAATTTACAACAAAGAATACCAACATAGCTATAGTTCACATAAAATTGTGACCATACTCGCCTTTCAGTTCAGACAGCACAACAAAGAGATAAATTAATAACAAACAATTGTATGCACCTTAGATAATACGGGAAAGTTTCAAAAGAGACATCAATATTCTCAGGTTTGAAAATTCTCTGTTGTAAACTGTCCTTGAATGCTTGCCGCCTGGTTGATGCCAATATTGTTGGGGTATCAACATCTTTAAGGAGTTCTCTTAATTCCCTTCGCTCTTCCAATATCTTGGTGATGCCACAACTTAAATCAAGTTCAGGACATGAGCCAGCAAGCATGCGCAGTAGGGGCCTCAACTCATATGCAGCAGCAGTCACCTTCCCAACATCAGCATCCACATTGGTGTCAACTTCTGTTGTGTCAAGGCTAGGATTTTCATTAACAGTGTTAGAGGATGCAAGAACAGTTTTCTCAGCAGAGAAAACTCCAGATGGTACATCTTTATTGGTGTCATCCTTCATTTCACTATCTGGCATGTCATCCCCATTGCCAGACGGTAGTGATGAAATGTCAGTGTTCTGTTCAACATTCTTTCCTGTTTTTGCAGGAGACGAAAGGAGAGATAAATCTTTATGAAGATTAGATAAAGAGGCCAATATTGATGCTCCAGCAACAGCAGAAGGGTCACCAGATCTAGCTTCAACTTGTGTTCCATTTATAGGAGCACTCTGGGCTTCTAAAATACTCACGGATGAAGGTATACCAGCAGGACTAATATTATTATTTGTGAGCTGCTGAAAGATCTGAATTCAATGTTAAGGGACCCATAATACATAAACAGAAGAAATTTAGGAATGGAAAAATACAGCAACTTATAATGAAATGAAGAACACATGACATGACTAACTTATATCCTTGTAAAAGTGACCACATAAGCATGCAAAGAAAGAATGAGCTACAAAATCAGATAAATTCTTCTAATGGAATCATAGGTAAAGGATACATAAGCATGCTTGCCAGAAGAACCAAAGACCACCTCATCACCTCCACTTAAAATTAAACGGGCATTCTTTCGATGAGTTTTGCCATTAACTTGAATAGAACCTTTACCCCCTGTGATTTCAAGTAATGCAACAGACGAGCCTCCGCGCTACAGAGTCCGACAACTGTGGTCAGTAATCTTAAAAAAAAGTGGAAATGCTCAACAGTACTTTTCTTCTGTGTGAATAATTTCATGAAGCATTCCAAACAAAAATAGCTATTTTCATTAATTATTAACTATAATCAAACATCTAAAATAGGTTTTTTTTTTTTGAGAAATGATTATATAGTCATAATAATGAGAGCAGATGGACCATTGGTTATTCATCTGATCAATTAAATTTTGAAAGATAAGAGGGATCTACCTCTATGTGGCTCAACTTGCACAAAATATTACCAACAGTGGGATCTTTAAGCCATAAATTACAATTACGACCTTGACCAACAGTGAAGATAAGATCACTCATGGACACGTGAGGATTCTGGAAAAGGATGAATAACAAAAAGATTAGTTACAAATATATAATAGTACATCAGAAATGGAATCTTTAACAAGATAAACATAAATCAGCTCATAGTCCCTCCTCCCCATTTTAATAGAACAGCAAATAGAACAAACGTCAAAATATACATGAATACTACTCACAGCTAGCATCAATGTTATTTTTTAGTACAATATTTGTTTTCACCAAGCTACATTAAATCTCTTGTGCATAGTTACTGAGACACCTTATAAACTGAATATGTAATTGCAATAGAACCTGATGTCCTGTTATTATATATCTACCAAATACGCTTTGTGTGAGAAATAGCATGAAACACAATCTACTGTTTCGGGAAGGCACAAAAAGACTCAAATATACCAAAGTTAATAGATTCCAACCCAAAATAAAATGATGTCAAGACTGATTTGGTGTGTTATTAGTAACATCCAACTAACTTGCTCATTCTGCATTGATTGTCCTAATTTAAGACAATGCAAAGTTAGGTCAAACAAAGTAAGTCAAGAAAGTAGCTCTTACTATCTATCAAATAAGAAATAGCCCTGGACAGCTAAGGCCTGTCATTTCAATCTTAACTTAGTGCTACTTACACAAACCTCCCACGACATTAGTGCTTATTAAGCTAAACACCCTTCTATTGTTTGAGAAATTAGACTTGCATCCCTTCTTTTTAAATTATATGTATCTCCATTCTAAATCTTGTAAAACACTTTGTGCAGTCACCACCTTGTCATCTCTGCCCCAACGGTTGAACTATCTTTCTCTTTCTATTCACGTTTCCTTCTTTTCTCACTTATCGTTTCTGTATCCTTTCCTTGATCTCCACACCCCCCCCCCTCCTCCTCTCAACCCTCTTTTTCCTTTCTTTGGCACATATGCATGTATAGCAACACATAACAGGGAAAAAGGAAAGCACCCTTTACAATCCAAAGTCAGCCCCCTTCTCAATAATTGGAAAAAGCATAAGAATTTCACCAAATTTTTTACCAGACCCAAAAATCTGAGTTCCCTTCCTTCATGGAGAAACTAATTAAACTAGAAGATTGCTTTCCCTCAAATGGATGTCACCCAGACTCCAGTACAGGGAACAACAGAATCATCTGGAATCTGTATTGGTTTAACGATCCTTGACACAATGAGTTTCCAAAGTTAGAAGATGTGTCCATAATGGAGATCAGCGGCCAAAAACCAAGGTAGAGCCCTCGTAGCTAAAACCCTTATTTCAAAAAGCACCGAAGATCTCCGCTGTTTGGTACACATTCTCACCGGAAACTCTAAGACAACACAAAATTTCCTAACTAGATTTCCAGCAATGAATTAATGAGTGCTCTCCCAAGTTTTTTTTTTTATTGTGTGACAAATCAGTGATTAAAGTGTGCAGTTGCAGGGAGGTCTAACTGTTTTGGTAAGGGGAGGAGATTGGAGAGTGTTAATTACTTTTTGACAAAGTTGTGCTTGGAACAAGAAGTTACCCCATGGTTTACATGTGCTTCTAACATAATTTTCACTAATAAATGACAAATTCAGGAGATAGATGTAACCGGACGGTGTAGTATGACAAATAACACAGGCAGTAATCACCCAGCAGTCAATGATGCAACATGATGTATTTAGAAAATATGAGTAGGCTTTAACAATTTCAGGGCCCAGAATCTTAGTGATCAGTAGCATGTCAATGGAGTGGCAGTCCTGTGCCACTATCCATTTACTTGTACAAGACCATTATAGGGAGAGTCCTGGCTGCAAAGCACAGACACTATTGTGGAAAACCATTGCCCTTGGGATGGCTGTTGACAAAATTCCCTATTTATCCACTGTTTTGCCGACCATTCAAGTCACCTTTGTGGTAATATTTCCATTTCCTCATGTTTTACGCCAGTAAATCTGTGTTTATGATTCAAGACTAAATGCATCTTTGCACTTGCATTTGAGTGTTGACACCAAAAATCACAAGTAGGGCATGACCTCCTCCCCTTCCATCCATTCACCCGACCCAGTAATGCTTCTCACCAACCCACAGCACTGACATTGTTTCTAGCCATGCATCATTTTACACATCACATTTCAGACCTCTTTGTCCTATATCTAATTTTAATTTTTAATTTGAGAGGTCTGTTCTGAATTTGTTGCATATATGTTTCTTGACTTGTCACTCGCTTGTTTGAGCATCTAACTTTTTATTGTTATAGTGGAACCAATTGTGGTTTGCAGAAATCATAAAAGCCAACAATCTGCTACAAAAATATAGCTCTTATTATCGCAAACAGGAAAATAGCAAGAGTCACATTCGGGTTGAAATGTATAATATATATACCAATTATATACGTATAAAAAGTCAATTTTTATGCAAATAAAAATCAAATGCATTAAATTTGGCATAATATTAAATCATTAGTTCAATTGGCTAATGAGTCACTAGAGATGACAAGAGGATGCAGCACACATGACACCCACAGTGGCCACAATAGCACACAGAGTCACAATCATTGGTTTGAGGAATTCGGCAAGCTGATAGTCTATATGCTATAGCACCCACTACAGAAACTATTTAACAGTGCTTAATTATGATATTTTTTCAGTTTTCGGTAACTTTTTATGTTTGAGAACATTATATTAGAGCACTATAAATTATTTCCCTTGTAATTACAATCTTCAATTGTGTCCTTCCCTCTCTCCACCAATGTAAACAATTGCAGATCGCGGAAAATGGCAGAAAACCTATAATCTGCTATATCATTCAGTGGAGAGCATTACAGGCAAAGTTACACCGTGATTGCAAATCCAAGAAATTCTGCAATGCAAGTGCACTATAGCCTTCAGTGGCTATTTAACAACACTGATTAATAATGCAAATGCTTTTCAGATTTTGGTAATTCGTTTATCTTTTAGCATTTTAGCAATATATGTGCAGTATAAATTATTGCCCTAGCATTAAGGGATCTCCTGCTTTCAGCTATGTCACTATAGCAGTTTAGATGTCAGTCAATTCGCACACTATTTGGGATTGAAAACTATGTGTGGAATGTGAAAAGTATTAAGCATCTATGCATACAAGAGTAGAAAAACACAAACACAACAGTTCCGGAGTCACCAAAATCACTACCCTTTACAGAAGAAAACTTCAAGGATCGAAGTTGCCATGCATTGCTCTTGCGAAATTTGAAAAAAAAGTACCAATAGACACATACAACCCAACCATGCAAGCATGGTAAAAACCCAACTAAGAACAATAAAAACAAACCTGAGAACACTGAGAAAGGAGCTTTCCCCACGCAACCTTGGGGGTCAATCTTGTAGGGCGCTTCTTCGACCGACCACCCGTTGACACCGCCGCGGCCGCCGCCGCTGCACCAGCCCCCTTCGATTTCTCCGCTGTTTCACCTTAATATTCCACAAATTCATAAATCTCACCTATCTGAAAACCCACATGCATGCACAGAACCAGCAACCCCATATGAAACCCCGGCGAAAAGGGTTGTAATCTCCTTACCTAGACACTGGGGGGCCACCAAAACCTCCCCTTCAACGGGTGTGGACAGAGATTTATCAGGTGACATCACATCACACCCATCGACGGCCTTCAACGACGCCGTATCGGGCAGATCAGAGGGCCGCAACTCCGGTTCGGCGGATTCATTCCCGGGTCCAGATTCGTTGACCGGAGCGACCGAGGGCACGGTGGTGGATGAGGAATCCTCGGACACCTGCGTCACCAAAGAGAATTGATCAACACGAGGCACCCGTCTCGAATTGAGATTAAAATGAAATACCCAGATGAGGAAAAGGGGAATTGGCATAAAAAGCGAGAGGTGGGTAGCGGTGAAAGGGAGTAAAGATTGAACCTTGGATCTTTTGGTGTTGTTGGGGGGAGAGGGCGAAGAGAGAGAGCGCTTGGAAGAGGAGGAGCTACTACGTCTGGTTTCGACCATGGTGGTGGGTTGTGGAGGGTTCTGAGGACGGTCCTTTTCGGGGGAAGATGAGAAAGGCAGCTTATGACTAAGAATGATTGATGCAGATCATGTAAATTTTGTGAAGGTTTGTGTCTTGCTCTTTTATGTAATTGTTGGGATAATCAATCAATAAAAAATAACAATAATACAAGGTATATAATAATTTTTGAATTATCCAATTATAAATGGTAATGTATGATAAGCTTCTTCAATTTTCACACCTACTACTATAAGAGTTTATTTAGGGATTAGTTTCAAAACATTTAAGAGTCTTCTACTAATTACTATAAGAATTTATTTAGTTATTAGTTCTAGAATATTTATAATTTCATATTAATTAAAGTTGAAATGAATGATAATTTATATAACAGAGACAAATATTATCATTCCTAAATGTATTTATTTTCTTGTTTCAAATAATAAAAAAATTTGTTTGTTTTCCGAGGATATCTTTTCACATAACGATAAAAAATTCAATTTTTTATTATATATTACATTTTCATTATGTCAAATTATTTTATTGTATCTTGAAAATTAATAGTGTTTTTAATAAGATTTAATCATCCAATTTAGTGGAATTAAGAAGATAACTGATTTTTTTTAATAGTATAATTATATTTTACAAAGATACTTTCGTTAGAATAATAAATTTAGTTAAAAATAAACTAAAAAAAAAAGTTGATAATTATTCTGAGTCTTACATAAAGATAGTTTATATATATCATTCTTTCTCAATTCACTAACATGTCTTTTAAAACAAATTTGTAATTAGCGAGAGCTCAAAAGCTGATATTTTGGTACTGTCATGAGTCTAACATCATTTAAAATTTGAGGTAAAAGATAGTTTATATATATATATATATATATATATATATATATATATATATATATATATATATATTATCCTATTTTAACTCACTCGATTATCTTTCAAGGACAAAACGAGAGTTTCAAAGTAGATGTTCGATACACTTATGAGTTTTATATCACTTAGAAGTCAAGGTCAATGATAGTGTATATATACTCTCATCTCTTAACATCTCTTAGGAGTTAAGGTCAATGATACTTTATATATATCCAGTGGCAGATCTTCTTGGGAGCTAAGGGGGGTCATGGCCCCCCCAAAGTTTTGTAACTCCTATGTAATTTATGATTTTGGTCCCCCAAACTTAATGAACATTTAATATATTTACTTGTATATTTACAATTTTATCCTCTGAGTTTCTCCTAAGTTTTGTAACTTACATATAATTTATGATTTTGTCCCCTCAAACTTAATAATCATTTAATATATTTAAGTATATATTTATAATTTTATTCTTTCACCCTTTCATCTTCTTTTTTCTTTTTTATATTTATTTATTATTTATTAATAATATATTATTTGACTCCTCCAAGATCAATGTTCAAGATCCGCCACTTGTATATATCATTCTCTTTTAACCCACTAAGACATCTTTTAAGGATAAAATCATCACTTAGGAGTCAAGGTCAATGGTAGTTTATATATATTCTTCTCTATTAACTCACTGAGACATTTTTTAAGGACAAAATCGTAAGGGACAAGAGTTTCAAAACAATAATACGGTACATTACGCTTATGATACTCACATTGATTTATATTAATAAGTTTGTATACGCCCTCCTCTCTTAACTCACTAATACATCTTTTAAGGACAAAACTATCACTCATGAGTAAAGATAGTTTATATATATATATTTTTCTCTCTTAATCTACAAAGACATCTTTTAAGAACAAAATCGTAAGGGACAAGAGTTCTAAAACAATAATACGGTACACTATGCTTATGATATTCACATTGATTTAAATTAATAAATTTATATACACTCTCCTCACTTAACCTACTAAGACATCTTTTAAGGATAAAATCATCATTTAGGAGTCAAGGTCAATGATAATTTATATACACTTTCCTCTTTTAACTCACTCGAGATATTTTTTAAAGACAAAACCATAAAGGACAAGAGTTCCAAAACAATAATACGGTACACTACGTTTATGATACTCACATTAATTTAAATTAATAAATTTATATACACCTACCTTTATTAACCCACTGAAATATTTTAACAATAAAACTGTAAGAACAAGAGTTTAATAATAATAATACTTACGTTATATCTATGGTACTCACATTAATTTAAATTAATATAATTCCACGTTGATTAAGTTAAATATTTTAATACCACAAAGAATTGATAGTTAGTGAGGATTTTTACATTTTAAGTAATTGATAATAGAAAAATTAATAATAAAAATGTTAATATATATTATTCAACAACTCATTTTAATGTAAGGTATTTTATATATTATATATTGACTTTATGTTTGAATTTTCATAATTAAAATATAATTTATTTTGTATTGTTATCTTAATTAATTTTTTTATCGTGAATAAAAATATTTCTTATCTGACAAACTTTCAGTATTATCTTAAAATAAGAATTACTCTAAAAGGATGAAAATATATTTTATTTGGAGCGGTAGATATTGTTGAAGATTTTAGATTTTTGACATTCATCCTTGTATGTTTTCAGAATTTTGATTAATTAGATATGTGAAGAGGTAAGAAAGGTGAAGTGGAGAAAAGAGAAAGTGTGAGATTTGGAGTGTTGTGGAAATGGCAACTGGGAACGGCGTCATGGCCGATACCAATTTGTTGTTTGCAAATGGCAAAATGGAAATTTTTGGATGGGTGACTTTGGTAAAATTTATGGTAGTAGCTCGTAGAACAAAGCAAGATTTGATTGGACTTTTCTGGAGAGAGAAAGGGTATGAACAGGAAGATAAGAAGGCACACATTTATGCATGGTGTGTTTGTATCAATTTTCACACTTCCACTTCAATACCTGAAGTTTTCTGCACGTACCTTTGAAAATAAGATAAAACCTTTTTATTGGTAATTGATGCGTTTAATTTCATGTATTGGATTTTAACTTTCGTTTCTTTATATTTCTTAGTTTATAGAAAATAAAATCTAATTTACACCAATTAAATCAGATAAGTAGATTTGCATACAAAATAATTTATTGCACGAAATAAAATTTATTTTAGTATTTTGTATCCTTTTAGATAATTAATCTAATCTACGTTAAGTAATAAAGCAGAAGAATGCTCCAAATATATAATTTATTATTTTATATAAGAATTCTTTATAAGTGATGAATAAGAGATTCACATTTGAATGACAAGAGGATTTAAAAAATAAATAAAAAGTTTAATAAACAAACTATTCCTAAATACTAAGTACATCCTTAACAAAGTAAACTCTTAACAGATTAGCCTCTAAAACTATGACAACTTAACAATAAAATAATTACTGAACATAAATGATAACTTCATCATTCATATTTTTCTTCTATATCATGACAACTTCATCATTCATAAAATGATACCTTATAAAATAAATTAAAAATCGAAGTTAAATATTTGTTTGTCTAGAAATTAAGATGTATCGATTTTATGTCCACTACGATAATATCGTTACAGGTAATTTTCATGTTTAACATATTTTTCACTTTGAAGTTTTAGTCCATCACGATTTTGTCCTTAAAAAAATCTTGATAGGTTAAGAAAGGAGAGTGTATATATATTATCATTATAGTCTCAACTCTTAAGTAATATGAAACTCTTGAGCGTACCGAAACATAATCATCTAGTGAAAGACTAAGGGCATGAATGGAGCGAGACTCTGCTCTCGACACCATTGTGAACGCTAAATGGTTTTACCGTACTGATGGAAGTCAGCAAGAGGATGTGAGATTGGACTGAGGAGATAAGTGGATCAGATTTTGAGTTGCGACTTCAAAATAATTGAAAATAGCTTCCTGTGAAAAGAGTATAGGTCTGCCTGCAAAAGACACTTCGATGCTCAAGTTAACTGTTAGACAAGAGAGCAATGTATTTGAGAATAAGTGATCAGATGATATTTACTCTCTGGTTGAGTCTCCATGAATAGGACTAGAAGATAATAATAGCAAAAAAAATAATAGCTGATAGTCCAAAAAATAATAATTAATATAAGATATTATACAAAATAATAACATATAAAAGATAATTAATAAGATAATGTATAACAAGATAATTAAATAATTAAAGTGATTTAATGGATTTAGGTCAGGTAGGTACACAAGTTCTTCAAACTCGGAGGTCGAGTTCCTTTATAAATAGAGGTTAGACGAATTTAAGGTTGAGTTAATAATTTCATCATGTAGATGAATATTATTCAGTTTGAACGTGTTTATCCTATAAACCATTATTTGGTTAGACCAATATATATTGGTGAGATTTACTCAATAAAGCCTATATATTTGTCTTGCAAAGATAATGGGTAAAAAACTTTAGAAAAAATGAGAGAGGAGCTCGATACAACTCCCATCAGCCCTCGAGCTCAAACAGATCATCCTGTGATGCAACCTCGAGTGATACTTTGAGAGGAGATTTTCCCCCTCCCCTAAGCCAAAACAAAACTTTATCGATTTGAAAAATGATTTACATTTATCATGTGCATGTACTATGATTATGAAGTTACAAATGTCTCATTCATAGACTGTGCGACTATTAGTAAACTATGCAAATGTTAGACTCATGACTCTGATTATAGTTTTTAAGACCCAAATTTTGATAACTTGTACACCTGAATAAGGTAGGTATACTTGAGTAAGACATGTATAAATCATATGACCCTGAGTAAGGTAGATGCAAGTTTTGCTAACTTATATACATAAGTAAGATATGTATAACTCGTGTGATCCCGATTAAGGTAGATGCAAGTTTAATAACTCATATACATAAGTAAGGTATGTATAACTCGTGTGACCCAAAGTAAGATATATATAATTCATATGACTTTGAGTAATATAAATGCAAGTTTTGATAACTAGTATATAATAGTAAGATATGTATAACTTGTGTGACCTCGGTTGATGTATGTATAACTTATGTGACCCCAAGTAAGGTAAATGTAAGTTTGATAACTCATATACCCAAGTAAGATATGTATAAGTCATGTGACCCTAAGTGAGATAGATGCAGGTTGTGATAACTCGTATATTGGAGTAAAGTATGTATAACTTGTTTAACCCTGAGTAAGGTATGTATTCTGTTGTGGGGCATCAACTGTGAGTTCTCAACAAGAACTTGGAGGTGAGGCTTCAATTGTTGCTTCATTAGTGTACTCTCGCCTAACATTCATCCTCAATTGATTCCTTACTATCTGACTGTTGGGTAATCCAAATGTGAGTTAAGTCTCACTTTATGTAAGAATGAGAAAGTTGAGCAACATATAAAGAAGAAAAACCTATAATTCAATGTCTTAAGGTTTTGGGTTGAGAGTGGTGTCAATCACTTATATGGGTTGGACTCATGTCTCATTGATGTTATTCTCCCCAGTAAATCCCCCTCAAAAGACCCAACAAGTGGTATCAGAGCCGAAGGTTGATCGACAGTGGCCTCCGAGTTTGGTAACTTCACGTTATGTGCTTCATTAGTGTACTCTCGCCTAACATGCTTTGGAGTTTTAGTCCATCGCGATTTTTCTTAAAAGGTATCTCATCAAGTTAAGAAATGAGGGTGCATATAAATTATTATTAACTTCAACTCCTAAGCAATGTGAGATTCATGTGAAACAATATTAAATAAATATTAAATAAGGGTTATATCTTCAATGTGATATTTTTTTTAATATTTAATAATTTAAAGTTTTATTTTAAATTTGACATTAATTTATCAATTTTATTATTTGTGTACTGTTCAATTGAAATACACAAAATAATATTATAGTATAAAAAATATAAATGTTCGTGTATATATGTATTTTTTATTATATTTTTTTAATACAAACAGGTAGAGGTCTACAAGAGGGTGAGATATTGGATTGAGGAGATCGATAAATCACATTCTGAATTGCGACTTCAAGATGATTGAAAGTAACTTCCTTTAACAAGAACATTGACACACTTGCAAAAGACACTTTGATACTCAAGTTAACTCTTAATCAAGAGAGGATTATATTTAAGAATAAGTAATAAAGTGAGATTTACTCTAACTGAGTCTCCTTATATATAAGATTCAGAAAATAATAATAGCAAAAAAGATAATAATTGATAGTAAAAAAATAATAACTAATATAAAATAATAGATAAAATATAATTAATAAGATAATATATAATAAAATAATTAAATAAATAAAATGATTTTAATAGATTTTGGTTGAGTAGGTAGAAAATAAATTTTCTTTAAAAGTAAAAAAAAAGTGAACCAATTAAAATATTGATTAATTTATCACATATATGTTAAAAATGACTTAACTCAATTTATCTTAATTTTGTGTGAGGAAAAAAATTTATAATTTAACTCAATCCATTTGAATAAGTGGATTAAGTAGATTAATTTAATTAAATATATATTTTTATCTTTTTAAAATTACTAAAATAGATAGATTGAATTATTAATATAAATAATTTAGACATGTTAATTTACTAAAATATTTTTTTATTTTTTTATAGATTTATACTGACACATAAATAGAAATTTTGAAATATTAAATATTAGGAAAAAATTGGGTTAACCTACTCTAACTCATCAATGGGCTAAGTGAGCTATTAACTTATTAATAAAAAAATTTGGTAACAAATTGATTGATATCGATATCCTTAGTTTGAAGAGAGGAAAAAAATAATACTTTTTATTATTTTATTTAGGAGAATTTTGAATATAAATAAATATGTGAGAGAATTTAAGTATATATATATATATATATATATATATATATATATATATATATATATATATATATATATATATATATACCACAATGTAATATATTAACTAATAAATAAATATAAAATATATTTAAAGATACTTATAAGAATACAAATAAAATATAGTTTGTTAGAAATAAACCAAAATTTTTGTTTATTAAATAAAAAATTTAAAAATTTATTAAATACTCAAAATAAATATCATTATATATTTAGATTAAAAACTTATTTAAACATAAATTAAAACAAACCGTTATCCATACCTTATGTTACCATGAGTAAATATATTTCAAAGTTTAAATAATTTCAGTTTACTCTTGCATTTTTATTTTTCTTTTAATTTTTTTACTACGTCATTTACAGAGATTATTTAACCGCTACTTTTCACAGACAATGTTGATATATATATAACCAAATCATAAAACACTTCTCGAGTGTGAATGTGAGAAAGTATAAAAAGAAAAGGAAAATAAAATAAAAAAATATATTTATCTATTTAAGAGAAAAGTATTATGAAAATAAGGAAAAAATTTCATTTAAAAAGTTAATACATAAATAAATCAAAATAAATATTTATTTAATTATTAATTTTTTAATAAGTAAAATAAATTTTTAAATTAATAATTTATATTTTAAAGTATATTGTGATATTATTATAAATATTTTTATTATAAAATTATATTTTTTAAAATATTTGAATTTAGATTAATAAAATAATGAACTATTTATTTAATTTATATAATCAATTTCATGATATTATCAAAATAGTAATTAAAATTATTTATATTTATATTTATATATAAATTAAAATTATAACATAATAATTATTTATTTTAATAATAACTTTATAAATTAATAATTTGTTGTATTTTTCATTCGTTATTTATATATAAATAAAAATAAAATAAACAAAGTGATGATTTTTTTTGTAATCTTTTTATTAAGTGACTTTTTTTACATGTAACCTAAAGGAAAAAAATTGGTAATCTTTTATTTATAGTTTGTAACTCTCTTTTTTGTCGTTTTTCTTTTTCGCTATGTTATTCATATGCATATATTATATTCTATAAATAAATATATCAATGGAGATAGATTATAGTTTTAGCATACAAGACTTTTTTAAAATGTTGATCCTTTAGAAAATGTATATTGATATTGATATATTGAGGGTGAGTGATATATTAAGATGAGTGTTAATTTCACACTTGTAACTAATGTATTAGCTTAATGTATTTTATAGTTTACTTAAAACACTTGTATTTTTTTAAATGTTTCTGAAAAAAAAATTAAAGAACTTTGACTTAAAAAAATTAAGCAACATTATCTTAAAAAAATTTAAAACTTAAAAGGGTCTTTGACTTAGTAGATAACTGATTATCTAAGTTTTAATTTAAATAAAAGTCTATTTAATTATAAGGATATAGACCTTAAGTTTTTCAAAAAGTTTTTTAAACCTAATAGGACAACCTAATGAACTATAAAAAAAATGAAAAGAAACATAAATTCAACCTACACAATTCGGTGCTAACAACATAAATTTTGGAGCAGAGCAGTGATTTCGATTAGGATAACCTGGCCGTCACATAAAATTGACCTAATTTTCTAACTGTGGACCGACAAGAGCTATCATTCACACCTATTTTTGTTTTTTAATGATAGTTTTGTATTTCTTTTAGATTCTCGTCTTCTTCCACTGGGTTTAGGTCAATTTCCAGTGGTTATCCTGTCCCCGGACTGAAGACATTAGATTCTGAAAATTAGGGCATAATAATTATAATTTAAATTGAATTAACAGGTAAAGCATGTTGGAAGCAAATCATAGCATATGCAACCCTATAAAGGTAAAAGGTAACAAAAGAACCACGTTGGTGACCCCTAATCGTGCACTGTTTTGGATTAGGTTCAATCATTGCCATGTGTTAATTACATTACGTGGAACTAACATGCACATGTGAAGACCTGATTAAATTTATGATTTACACAACACTCATCTAATCATTAGACATGTGCTTAAGAAGAGATTTCAATTCAAACCTTCCATTTCAACCACTTGAGTGAGTCTATCACTTATTTTTTAAATTAATGAAGAATCAAAACACAACCAAATTGACAGACGCAAAGGTTTAGCATAGCATTGATATTTAAAAGAAATTTAACTACTAATTTTATTCGCATTTTATTTCATAAGAGTAGTAAAAGCTTTCTGCTCTGTTTTTGGGAAATTTATTTTGTCAGAGTGAGTAAATAAATAAACCATTAAGATAGGTAGAAAATTTGCTATCTTACTTCTCAATTATTATTTACTAATAATTAATCAAACTCACCAATTTTTGTCATAACCATATTCAAATACTTGTAATTTATTTAAAAATATTAATCATAATTTTAAACAAATGTTTCACAGGAAATTAAAGAATAAAAAAGGATAAATACAAAAAATTAAACGGAAAAATAAAGTATTTTCTTTATTTTGTTGTAAGGAAAATGATAAAAAAATGTCACTTTCTATTATAATTAGAGATGATAAAACGGGTTATCCGTCTCATTTTGGGCCGTGCAACCTCTAGTCAATAAGACAGGTTGACCCCATTATTAAGACGGATTACACACCCCAATTCACTCCGTCAATCGAGAAGTCAGTCCACCAATATTTTATTATATATATATATATATATATATATATATATATAATTTTTATATGTATTTTTTAAAATAAATATAAATAATTTTAAGTTTTTATTATTAATTAATATTATTAGATAAATTGAAAAAATTATTATATATTTGTGATAAAATACCTAATTATAATTAATAATTAATATTTAATTAGTTAATATTTATAAATTAAATTATAATATTAAAATATATTTTCATATTTCAAAAATATGATAAAAATATAATATTTTAATTATAATTATTTTTATTTTTATTAAAATATATAAATATATTTTTTAAGTGGACCAGTGGTCAACCGCTACGCTCCAACCTTGGTCCACCATATTCATGGGCTAGGTGAGACTGGTCAAAATAAGCTAGTGGGCTAAAACTGTCAACCTGCATTGTCATTTTTTATTTTGGCTGGTGGATCATGTAACACCTAAAAAATTTATCATGTAAAACTTTTTTTCAAATACACTGTACTAAATTATAATATTTTTGAAAAATAATTATACAATAAAAGACCCATTTAAAAAAAAAGTTATTATTAAATTATCAATAACGTTTGCTTAAATTGTCCTTTATTCATTGAATTTTTTTTTAGATTTAATTTGTCTACCTTTATCTCAGCTTAGATGTAATCTTATGTATGGATTAATTATCTTTCAATCAAGTCCTTTTGACTTGATAAAAAAAAATGTAATATTTTATAATTTTAAGAATCTTTTCAATTTATCTATCAACTTAGTGAGTTTTGAAGAATGAAGTTTAAGAATATTTGTCAT